GAATCCTGACTACTCTAGATCCAAGGTTACCCTCCTTGCCACTTGGGCCCACTCAGGGGCACGCTTGCGGACAAACCTGCACAGGGTTCCGTCGAAAAGACCCCCTGGGAACAGCTGCCCCGGCCTCAAACGTTTTTTTTTTTTTTTTTTTTTCCAAGCAAAAGAAAAGGGGAAAAAGACGCACAAACTGGGATCGTCACGCGAAAAAACAAGCGGATTCGTGCCTTCTTATAGGCAGCAGTTGGGCCTGACCCTGCCTGACCTTCTTCTCTGTGTTGGTTCGAGTGTCGCTTGATGTCTACCTTGTTGTGTTTTTCGTAGGCCAAGGCACTCGCCCCACCGGTCACCGTATTCTATTTCCGGTGCTGAGCACTTACCACGGTTCCCGTGCTACCGGCAGTCGCCTCGAGACTTTCTGACCAAAAGGAGGCTGTCGCTCCGTCGCCGCGTACCGCGGCATGCCAATGTCAAGAAGACACATGTACCAGTGCTTTCTGACTTGGCGTACGCGTCGGATGCTCGGCTGCCAAGCGCCAGGGATACTGGGCGCGGGCGCAGCCGTAGCCGCAGCAGCATGCTTTACTGCGGGCGTTCCCTGCCACGTGCCATAGCGCCATCGCTGGGGCAGTCTGCGCCATCCGTATCCCGACGACCATCACCGGTCCCGGCCATCTATCATCCTTGTGGACATACCGTATAGAAGTCGCGATCGCGCTCTGTGCCAGCCCTATTCCGGCGATCATCACGGTCCCGACCATCGTCACGCTCGTGGACATCCCGACGTGCGGCAGACGCGATCGTTACCGTTCCGACATCGGCCATGGCGGGGAGTGCTATTCTGTGTACTAGAAGGATAAGCGTTCGATCCTCCCCTGCAATTCGCTATCTGACGGGGCACAGAGAAGGCAGGTCGAGGGAATTCTACGGAGGAGGTAGCGGTGTGAGGAGGGGACGATGGTGGCTTGTGGAGGGATCGAGTGGATCAGATGACGCCACGTGGACAAACTGCAGACAAATCGGTACTGTCAACGAACCGCGGCCGCTGGGCAGCCTCTGCGCGCCGGTCGCCGCAGCGGCGGAAAGAGCAATGCCGGGGTCGCGACCCTACAACCCGGTATGCCAATCCGCCGCCTATGTGCCGATGCAACTAGTGATTCCGAACCTGGGAGGAGATCCAGACCAGGTGCGCGACCAGGGATGCAGCGATCGGGCAGGAGGTCGTCGCGGCCGGAATCCCATTGGGTCAGTTCTGCTGGCGGCGTTCGGAGGAGCACTCGGCGCGCTTCAAACGCTGAGGCTGTGTGAGGCCGAGGGACAGCAATATTCGGGAGAGCGCCATGAGCACATCGCCGCCCGATTGCCTCCGTCGCTCATCATTGACCTGCAAGCAATCCTGGGTGTAAGTGATGACAAGAACAGAAGATAAAAAAAACACTCGTGTGGCACGACTTGTCTGCACTGCATAACCACCCCCGTATAATGAGAAAAAAAAGAACGAAAAACGAAAAAACAGAAAACAGCAAACAAAAAACAAGAAAAAGACCGATGCCCTGCACAATTTTTTTTTTTTTTTTTTTTTTTTTCCAAAAAAAAAACACATAAAAAAAAAAAAAAAAAAGTGAAAAAAGGAAAAAAAAAAAAAAAAAAAAAAAGTTTGAGGCCGGGTCCTCACAGTTTCCCGGAAAACTCACCAAAAGAAAAGAAAATCCCCAAAGAAATCAGAACCCCATTCCGATCGAAACAACCTAGCCTATTCACACTCAGCCAGGACCATTCTGATAACAGGAAGACCCACCAAAGTCCCATAAAATCTGCTCTTGACTATAAGGAGAAACCCAAACTGACTACCAAACCCAAAACAAGAACAACTGAAAAACAAAACCCTGGACCTACAGTACTTCCAACAAAATCCCACCATGAGTGTCCCCTTATCCAGAAGTGTTCAATAGTAGTTATCCTCTACCCCAACCCTCTCGTACATAACCAGTAAAAACTATAATTGTATTTGGCTAAGTCGCCTTGATCACCACCCTAACCCCTACTAACCCCGGAGCGACCCGGAACATAAATTTGTTTCAGCAGACTCCCTTCCCATAGGACGCTCCCTCCACCTTCCCAATTCCCTGCACAATGTTGATTATGACTGCATTATGTTGCGGCTAATGAGATCACACAGTTGTAGACGGTTTGACGAAATGACGAAGTCCGTTAGGCCTTGCTACCAGGTAGTCCTTCGGCGCTGGTGTTAAGTGTCTGCAAAACAGGAATTACGCTCTGTGTGTGTGTGTGTGTGTGTGTTGTGCCTTGCCGGCAAAGGAGAAACGAACGTGTGATGCTGCTCGACACGCCGGTGTCCAGCACACACACACACACACACACACACACACACACACACACACACATATATGCAAATGAGGAAGAGCTCTTCGCTCTCTTCCGAGATATACCGGGGCCAAGTCCCACTTGGCTGAATTCGTCATTTCTGGTCGTTGATCTTCAGAATCAACGGTCAGAAATCAAGAATTCGGGTAAGTGGGACTTGGCCCCCGGACTACTCCCTCTTTGAGCGGTGACTTTCCAGGCTGCGCGGCCTCCCCAAGCTACCGGTACCTCCTACTTTTGGAGGGAACATCATGACAGTCTACTGCCTCTTTGGGCGGTGACTTTCCAGGCTGCACGGCCTCCCCAAGCTAACGGTACCTCCTACTTTTGGAGGGAACATCACGGCAGCCTGATATTCCCGTCCGCAGGCCCCAGACTCAGACTAGTGGACCGGTACCCCTAGACTGTAAGCCTACGGGACCTCTAAAATTCACTTCGGCCTCTAAAGGTAGTAACTTTTTGTCTTCTTTTTCCTACCTCCCCGGAGTCCCCGCTACTTAAATGTTTTTCAACGTACGTGGGCCTAGCCTTCTTCTAATTCCGCACTGCACCCTCACAAAAGCACAGCAGGTAAGTACCGGGCCCATAGGCCTTCTCGGCACACAAGTACCCTGGCGGGTCACACCCCCCCCCCAGGCAATCATGCAGTCTGGAAAACACACGGAAACTCAACAGTCATGCAAACACACATACTTAGAAATCTCAGCAGAATATGGTCCCCGCTACGTGGGCCTAGCCTTTTCTAATTCCGCACTGCACCCTCACAAAAGCACAGCCACAGGTAAGTGCGAGGCCCATAGGCCTTCTCGGCACACAAGTACCCTGGCAGGTCACCCCCCCCCCCAAGCAATCATGCAGTCTGGAAAACACACGGAAACTCAACAGTCATGCAAACACACATACTTAGAAATTTCAGCAGAATATGGAAATCTCAGCAAGTCATTCAGTCCAGCGGCAAAAGTCAGACAACAGCAGATTTCTCAGTTTGCGGTTTTGCAGGTCATTACAGTGATAAAAACATGAAGAACCCTAAAGAGAGAGACGAACCAGAAACAGCCCAGTTTACCCCTGAACTTATCACTTGCTGGGCTTCCATCCTGCTGGCCTGGCGCAAACTACACACCAACAAACAGGGAAAACCACGTAACACAGATGCACTCAGACAGCCTTCATTCTGTAACCCTTGGATTACAAATGATTCAGGCCTCCCATTGTCACAGTCTTCCCCTGACCATAGATGGCTGTTATAGGTGGAGAAGGGCATCTGAGAGAACAAAAATTGGGCAACAGCACATGAAAAGAGGGCTGCTCTGGAATGGTGCCGTGCCCAGCTGTAAACATTGCAGCCATGCAGAAACCATCCCTCCGTCCTGGATGGAACTGCTGAGGGAGGATTTCACGTGGAAACCAGGGGACTTGGGGGGTATCCTCGTCTTCCAACCAGAGCCAGTTCAGTCCTAAAGCTTTTAGAGAGCAAGGTTCATTTCCTTCCCCATATCAAGACAGAATAGTCAAGAACTAGAGATCCTTAACCAAACCCAGAAGATTCCTACTGAGGAAAATACGAGTCTCTACGCATAAACCCAGGGTAACCTTCTACCCTGGCCAGAGCATTGCAGATCTTGAACTCGACCTGAGGGCATGAAATCCCACAAAAAGGACACCACCAATAACTGAATATGGGCTCAAGACTGATTACCTCGTCCCTGAGAGAGAGAGAAAATAATTCTGAACTCGGGACGACACATAAAGATCGAGATCCCTTTGGTGAAATATCAGACAATCAAGCCAACAAAAGTCCGCTGTATGCAGTGGTTGATCGCCTGTGCTGCCTTGCTGGTTAATCAATGGCCTCACGAGAAAAGGAAACGCTCAGCTCAACAGGACTGGAATCTGCATGATGTGCAACACAATAGAAGACAAAACCCATTACATGCAAACACACAGAAGGTCAGGCGCTTGCCGACATTACATTTCACAACAAAAAGCACCCAACGCCGCAGGCGACAACTTCACCGGCGCATAATCCATTGCCTGCTGACATATACTGAAGTGACCTTGGTCTGGAATAAAGTCAAGAAGTTGTGGGCTTCTCTGTTTGCCTCTCCCTTCCCTGCCACCTCCCTGAAAGCTGGGAAAAAGAACTGGTTCCTCCAACTCCAGGCAGTGACAGTATGAACCATATGGACAGGGAACAAACAATGAGAGAGGAAGCCTGGTCTCTTTATTCATCAAGATTGTGGAAACCAAAATCCGTTGCAGATGGAACACTATCAAACACAAAAAGAACATCTGAAAAACATTGTCTGGTTTGGCATATATACAAATTTGAAATTTCCTATTCTGATTTGAAAAACAACTGATTGTGCACAATCGGCGCTCCTTTTCTTTATTTTGGGTCAAGATCAGACAAAATCACCACCAGGAAGAGAGTTTTCTGCACAGATTCAATTTGGCTGCTGTGGGGCACAACGCAGGGATATACGACAACGAATTGAGGTCGAAGAAATGGGAGGGGCCAACTGGAATGCATACAAATCAATCCAAGACTGAAGGTCCTGGGAACTTTGAGGGGGTATCTGAAACTCGCCTTTTATCAATAGTCAGATCCAGTACGTGGCTAGAGCCCGGCCCTTCTTTAGCTCTTGGCTCTTCACAACAATGTCACGGTCCCAGCAATGCGGAGACTGAGAGGGACTCCAGGAGGAAAACGCTTTCTTTCAGTTTCTGACAGTCATCCCCCCTCAAGGGAGTAATCAACGCTGTTCAGGGTTCCTTCGACCTAGGTGGAAGGAAGCTTAGAGTGGGTCATACAATTTACTTTCTTGTTCAACTTGCCGATGGTCGGGAAAACCAGACTGGTGTTCCCCAGAATGGACAATAAGGACCTCTTACTAGCAAACAAAAACATACGTCGATTATGTTTGTTTTTTATGATTTACAATGTGACATCTCCTCACTGACACTCAGTATTATGGTCATTGCAGGATGGTGACAGAGTTGTGACAGATGATGAAGAGTGTAAGGTGCATGCAATACCATGGAACAGTTATCATGACAGCCCTGCTTGCCCTGGTGCTGTTGTGTATCCTAGGTGGGACTTTGAGACATTCATTCCTTCTTTCTCCTTTCTACATGTTCATTCCCAGCACCAAGAGAGCACATCCCCTTTTCATCCATCTCTCAATTTACACTCTCGTTTGGTCACTGACGGTATATTTGACGTATCTTTTCATCTGGATGCATGGTTGGATGGTGTAGTCATTGTTCACCCATGTTTTGTCATCCTTCTGTCACTGCCCTCTTTCTCTTTGGTCTCCTTCCATGTTTGTCTCCCAGAGAATAGTGAAAAATGTGAGGCCCACGAGTGCTGTGAAAGCAAAGTGGGCTTGGAAACCTCAGGGAATTCCAGGGAGGGACCGATCCCAGTGCGGCGGGCCCAAGGCCAAGGGCCTTGGAAAGTGACCAAATGAGATTCCATATAAAACTGGACCTTGGACAGGCTTCTCCACTACTAACCTGATTACACCATTTACTTGCTGTTGTCTCTAAGCTTTCCTCTCCACAATCACCTAAAAGGCTAAGACCCTTGTTTTCCTTTTTTTCAGAGCTCTCCTCTCGGCAATCACCTAAAACCTGATCACGTTCAATTTATGAGTTCCTAGTCCTCCTCTAAGAACTATGCCAAACTTTTCAGCACCAAATAGTTGTCTCACAAATGCCAGTACTTCCATCTTGCCGCCATTCTTTCGACGGACTTGTCGTTACGCTCGTCTCCTCCCAGATGCGATGAGAAAAATCATAATCTGATTCTATCTACTATCGGGATCAGTATCTGTCATCTTTTCTTCCATACGGCATGGTCAGAGCACCTCCGTGATCTGCTGTGGTTTGGACTAGCAAGTAATGAACATCAACCTTGGGGGGGGGGGGGGGGGG